AAAAAAAAAAAAAAAAAAAAAAAAAAGGAGAATGAGGGTGACACAGTGATAGAATGCAATACAACCTCAGCAAAATTGATCCATCCCACATCCTTCCTCTGTAGAGGCTTAAGGGAAATGAGGGGAGCACAATGAAAAGTAGTTTTTATATATGGAGGTTATTTGACCCTCCACAATTTTAAAAGTCATTCTAGACGTTTGTGCATTTATATTTAGTGGTTATTTAACCATTCAACATTTTAAAAGTCATTTTAGACGTTAATACATTTACATGTGGGGGTTATTTGACCCTCCATCATTTTCAAAGTCACTTTAGACATTTATACATTTATAATGGGAGTTATTTAGCCCTCCATCATTATCAAACTTTTCCAGACTATTAATTAGGTCAATAATTAATCCCCTCCAAGGGTTATAACCCAGTTGGGTTACAGTCAGGGGTGTATAGGTTCAAAGCCCCAAGTACAGTTGCCCTTAGGGTTAGGAATAGCTTAGGGTTTGGACCCCAAAGTAAATTATCCTTAGGGTTATGATCAGGGGTGTAGTTTAGGTTTAGGGCCCTAAGGTAAATTATCCTTAGGGTTAATGGTGTATTTAGGTTTAGGGCCCTAAGGTCAATTATCCTTAGGGTTAGGTGTTTAGGCTTAGGGCCCTAAGGTAAATTATCCTTAGGGTTAGGCATCACAGATGTGTTTAGGTTTAGGGCCCTAAGGTAAATTATCCTGTTGATCACTACCGAATACCAGCGGTGGAAAGAGTACTGAAAATTTATACTTAATTACAAGTACTATTACATTGCTGAAATTATACTCAATTACAAGTAAAAGTACTGGTGTTAAAAAGTACTTAAGTAAAAATACAAATTACTCTTCATAAAAACTACTCAGAGTACTAATTACTTTTTAGCTGGTGGTATTTATTGAATTATCCATAATTGCTGAATCAGACAAGATCCAGACAATAAAGCACATTTTACAAAACACATTTAAAGATACTATAAACACTTTTGAAACTTTGTAAACAGCATTAACTGAACTGTCAGGTGTGGTTTATATACGAATCACAGAACAACACCCCTAAACATATATATATATACACACACACACACACATATATATATATATATATAAAATGAAAATAAATAAAACGTCACAAAACTGTTGAAAGTTCTCTTACCATTATGTGTTTTATAATGAAAACACTTTTATAGCTTTGTAAACAGTATTAACTTATCCCAGTGCCGTGGGATAACAAACAGCTGGGCAAGGCCCTTACTACACGGACCTTGCATACTAACATATCATACTATACCAGTTTACCTTCTGAACCTTTTGTTCAGTTTCAGCAGAAGCTGATTTTCAAAGTTCACAGAGTCTATCCGGCTTCTTTTAGATGTGAACAGTAGACCAGCACAGCTAAAAAGCCGTTCACATGCAGCTGAGGCAGGCAGAGCTGTATTTAATTTCATAGACAGCTTCTTGATGGCTGGGAAGGAGTGAAGCAGATCCATGCTGTCCGAGGCACATGCAAGGTAACCATCAAGCTCAACTGGACTTTGCAACTTTGTGGAGAGTGGTCTGGAGAAAAAATTATCATCATCAGATGACTCTATTTGCTGATGCTGACTTTCCTGCTCCGTGGTTTCAAGATGATTTTTCACGTATGTCAAGGCTGAAATTGGAACACACATACTTTTAATTATATGAATATTTTCAAATACCCACACTTATTTGGATAATTAGTTGGATACTGTAATGTACATTGCACTTACCAGCCTCTATTACATCAGGTTTGTCAGTCCAGGAGGTTTTGAACTTGGGTAAGAGGACTGCAGCAGCAGCCAGCTCTGGATCCTCCATCATCTGTCCAAAACGCTTCTGCAGGCCATTTTGCAGGGCTCTGATAAGTGGCATGCATGTCTCCAGCCGGTTGAGTTTGGACTGAAGCTGGTGGATTACTGGCAGCAGCCATCCCAAGTAGACGCTGGACTCTGACTGGAGAATGTTTGAAGCTTTTAGCAGTGGTTTCATAGTGATGCAATACTCTCTGAGAAATCCCACTTCTGCAGGATTCAACCTGGCAGGCAACTAGGCCAAATCATGACAACAGGAAAAGGAAATTAAATATTGCTGGTATTTAATATTACTCACATTTTCACCTTGATTTCATCACATACGCTCTTGATGGCATCTTCCCCCTTTTCATCAATAATGCGTATTATTCTTTCAGTAGCGAGACAGGTTGAATTCCACCGTGTTGCAACAGGGCGAAAGATCTGTAGCTCACACTTGTCCTCTATCACTTCACTAGCCAAATGAGATCGCCCAGTTTTGTTCCAAATGCCCAGGGCTAGACATAAGCCGCGGCACCGCGGCCAATGGCCGTCGTGCCTTTCAAAATTGGCCGCACGCCTCCTCAAAATTGAAGTACCTTACGGCCAAGATTGGCCTGCCTTTAATGTTTGTCTGGCCGTATGCCCCCTTTTTACCGAAAGTAACGTTCATTACACAAAAGACTTGCGCACGACACGGTCCACTTTACCTCGTCAACAATCGATGCATCTGTACTGAACCCGAACCCAACCTTCGATACGAGAAACGAGGTCGACCCGCACATCTCGTAATTCCCAACTACTGAATGAACCGCAATGAATTCTGGACTAATACGATCATGTGTTCGTCGCATGATTGGCTGGTACGGTATGTATCGTCCAGCCTACTATGGAGCCACAGCAATGACAATGGTGCATCATCGGGGGTTACGTTTTTGATTGGAAAAGCCATCCGACGGTTTCCGAATAACAGATAGGTGTCCTCTTCGGTAATCATCGTGTAGTTGTCGTCTGCTGCTTATGCTGTCACCATGCCTCGCAAAGATCGAGAACGTAAAAGAAAGCAAGCTGAACTCGCGGCTACTGCCGCAAAATGTTGCAAATTATCTACTTTGTTCAGGTAAGTGTCAGATGGTGTTGTAAAAAAACATTTGCCGAGGCAGAGCAGATTTGACTCAGAGAAGTACCAAGCTCTGCTGGGAGGATATAGGACTGGTAGCATGCAGTGTGCAAAAAACGAACGTCAAGTCAATTGTCATGTACACTAAAAGAATACGGGTGTTCTGAGCAAACAAATACAAAAATATTGACGGCTCCTTTATTGTTGGATTTTGTTTTTTGAAATAAAGCTATATATATCTATATATATATATATATATATATATTCTGTCTCAAATCGAAGGTCGTATTGCGTAGGTTGTCTAAACTTGGTAATTACAGTAATTGGTAATTAGTGACTCGATCAGTATTGGCCCAATGCCTTTTTGGAAAGTTTCTGCTTTTTTGAAAATAAAAAAATGCATCCTTTATGGAAATAAAATTCCTCCACAAGGCCCGAGGTGTCCTATGAAATTTAAATAAATGAAAAAAACATTTTTACTCCAGATTTTGGCCTTGTGCCCAGGCTTAATGGCCTTGTGCCCTAGAAAAAATATGAATAGCCAAGGCCAAAGTGGCTGTGCCCTCCTAAATCCTTATGTCTAGCCCTGAATGCCCTGGCATTTTGCAAAGCTTGAACGGAAAAGCCTTTTGTAGGTATCATTCATGCCTTCTGCAAGGGCAGCATCTGTTGTTGCCACAAGATTTAGCAGGTGACATGCACATCGCTGATGAGGGGGTAGTTGATATTCCATAGCAGTGTCTTCATCAAGGATTTCACTTGCATCATGGTATTCAATGTGGTCACTTTCATCAAGAGCATCCATGACTACTTCATTTTCTTCTACATCTGTATTATTTTGTGCCCCAAACACATGGAAAGCTTTGACAAAGTTGGATCCACTATCAGTTGTGGTTCTTACAACTTTGTCTCTAATCTTGTACTGGCAATGGACATCATCAAGAGCAGAAGCAATCATGTCAAATGTATGTGACCCTCTCAATCTTTTGCATGCCAGTGCTGCAGATCTTCTTTCTAAAGAGTCTTCCTCAATCCAATGGCAAGTTACACCAAGGTAACTTTTCTGATGAGCCGACCAACAATCTGTGGTGGTTGCAACAAATTTTACCTTAGCCAATTCTGTAATTATAGTTTTCTTTAGGTCATCAGCAGCATCAGAGATTCTGCCACAGACAGTGGATCTGGAGATGACTTTAGCTTGCGGTTGCAAAGTTGTAATCAGTTCTTTGAAAGCTGGCTGTTCTACTACTGCAAATGGCTGTAGACTTTCACATATGAAATTGATGACAAGCTTGTCGACAGTTGCTTGAGGGACACGTTTGCTTGTAGCTGCTAACATCACATCTGGTAACTTGGCTTGCTTACTTGCTGAGAGTTTGCTAGTCATGGGCTTCCGGTGACTACGTGTTGCTGTCATGATGTCATGGTACTGATCAATCTTAGATGGATGTTTCCTCTTGGGAAAAAATCACAGAGGAATTATACAAATTAAATTACAGGTCAATCAGCCTATATATATATTCCATTCATTACATAACACTTTCAATAAGGAAAAAACAGTATGCCTTACTATTTAAGATATTAAAACAAGTACACAGTAAGCAATTAAATAAGAATAAATAAACAAACTAGGAATTAATTAATTAATATAGTCTGTATTAAAATGATGATGGATTTACATGTTCTAGTGATGATTATCTTATCAATAGCGCTTTGCAATTATTTTACAAAAACAAAATTTTGCTCTTGTGAGTATAAAGACTACAGAAATATACATAAATAAAAATAGACTCTTTACAGTTTCAAATGATTCAAATAAATGCAGCAAAACGCGCCAACGCCTTTGCCGACTTGAGGGGATTAAAATCACTTACAAATTATGGAGAAACTTTGCTATTAATCTAATCGCGCGAAGGGAAGCGAACCGTCAGAAACCACAGAACATCACTGCCTAGTGCCTAAACATATTAATAAATAAATAAATAAATAAAATATCACACAAATAGAGTTATAAGTCTTCTTACCATAATGTGTTTTTTTAGATTAGAGGCTGAAGTCTTGTAAGACGAAATCACAGCAGACGGCAGACATTGTTTACACTGCATGAGCACAAGCTGTCCCCTTTCCTCCCTCTGTAGGTGAACAGCTCCTCTAGGTGTGGCCATAGGCACTCATCCTCTGCTATTTCTTCCTCCTTTCTGCATTCTTCAGATTCATTATTGCTGTCTTGAATCTCCATGTGTCAATCGATATATTTCTTGATTGTACGATGACGGTCAGCTCACGTAAATCTACAGTATCCGGAACTTGTTTTTCGGTTCAAATAACGTACCAGGCTTTTCATTGATCCGTTAAGATGAGATATTTTTATTGGCTACCGAAATGCCGGTCAGTGGTTGAAACATTAATTCAAATTACAGTACTCCGTAGCGAATCGTGATTTTAAAAATAACGAAGTAAATTACTTAGCTTAATTTGTACTCAAGTACAATTACAGACTTAAAATTATACTCATGAAAGTACAAATACTGTAATTAAGTACATTTTTGGGGTAACTTGAGTAGTTGTAATTCGTTACCTCCACCACTGCCGAATACTCGAAGCTCAAAAAATGGTATTCGGACCAGCTCTAGTTTCAACTAAGGCAGTAATCCTGTATTACTAAGACTTTGTCTGGACCTAAAGAGTAATTCACAATGCCACAAAAATCCTAACCAGTTCAAGTCCTTTAGTAAATGTGTTAAGCTCAGCTCACAGTTCATAGAAAAATGAACTTGTTAACACAGTCTAAGTGCGTATCCTTGATGGCTAGAAATGTTTGCCCTCCACATCCCTCCCAACATCACAATGGATAATGAAAATATAACAGTGACATTTTTCCCTTTGCACTGCAAAACAATAAAGTAATCATACACACCATAAACGCCAGTTTCCCCTACCATTATATTAGGGGGGCGCCTCCCCTTGAAGGTTAAGTTAATTTTATTTAAATTTATTCTCTATGTAGCGCCAGATCACAACAGAAGTCATTTAAGGTTACCTTTCCTATAGAACAGGTCTATACATGGTCCTTTTATTAAACAAACTAAATAGCCTTATGTTATTTATCTTATTTACACAACAGCTTGTCATTTTTGTCTCTACACGGTCGCGCGTTTACAATTATCTTCTGCTCTCTGTATCGCGCGTAGAGTTCCGCCCCAATGCGCGTGCACAGACACGTGCGCGCACACACAGGTGAGCACACTATAGTGATGGGAAGTTCGGCTCAATTAACTGATTCGATTCTTTCGAACTGTCCATTGTAATGAATCGATTTTAAAACCGATTCTATTAGTCTTTTTTTCGTCTTTTTTTTGCGCCTGACCGTATGACTCAAGGAATCGCGTGGGATCGGATAATAAATCTGTCTCAATTAAGGTTACGTTGTTTGACAAAGATAGCGCTGGTGTTCAACAAAAATGTTCAGCTTGACTATTCACAATAAAAAAAACAATATATAAAAAAGCAGAAAGGGTGTCGATGCTGAATAATATATGTGTATATATAGTTCTTATTTACTTAAGCCAAATTCATGTGTATGAGTATCAAGGACTACATCACAGTTAACAACAACTGCAATATTACCAATACAACACAAATACCCATACAATGAGCTTAAGTAAACTTGCATAGGTTGTTGTGTAAACGTCAAAGTTAATAAATATCTTAGTTTGTTCTTTGATGAAAGACATATAGTTTTATTATACAGAATACAGAAATGCAATAATTTACTGTTGTGATTGTTGGAGTCAGAACTCCGCCGGGTCCGTTGATGAGAAGAGATTCACTGCACAGTCGAGGAGTGGTTGCAAGTCACCAGTTTATAATCTGACAGATTGCGCAATCTGGGAGCAAACATCCGACATACATTCAGCATGTACAAGAAGATGCTCGACCCATATGGGTCGGCTCTAGATCTTTATAGGCCTTTTGGGGTGTGGCCCCCCTTTTCTGTACTTTTCCACCTACGTGACTACCACATACGTTGATATTTACTCTAGTTAGTGTGTGTGCCTGTTCCCAGAAAAGAGTAAAAATAAGTGTCAGCTACATGATCGGTTCCTGTTATTGTCGGGAACAAGGTCCTCCTGACCTGCTCTCTTGTCTACCAGTTCCCGTTTTTAGTGTCTGCATTATATTAGACACTGTGTTATTAAACATTAGTAAATTAGTATTGGCATTATTGTATAATTAACCCCTCAATTTCATCATGCCCTGCTTTAAGCTATATTCTCCTTTTCCTCTATTCATTGTATGTTCTTTATAATTCTATTGAATCCCGCAATTCCCCCTTTTGATCTCCGATAGGAGATCACCCTGATTATAGGCAAATAATGTTATGAAAGTTTTGCTTCCCCCTGATCCTACGCACTCGGGATGGGTGGCTTCTCCGGTCTGGACAATGGAAAACAACATAATCATTAACAATTTAAGCATTACACACAATACATTAGTTCCCCCCTTAATTCCCCTGTTCATCCTGACTCTCTGCATCGTTGTCCTGCTGATCTGCGATGGATGAGATGTTGCCTTCTTCAATCAGTCAGGGGTGGACTACCCTGCTGATCTGCTCAGGTCAAGGGATTATTCTGCCCTTCTGTAGAGACCTGAGTTGCGTCTGGTTCAGCCGAACTGACGCTCTGTGTGTCTTCTCCGAGGTCATTCTGGATCTCTGCTGTGGTCCTGCCTGGCTCCTCTGCAGCTGCACACTGGCTCCAATGGAACCACGTGTCACCATTTCCCTTTTAGACGAACTGCGTGTGACGTCCTTTCAGTAACTCGGAAGGGGCCGGTCCACCTGGGCTCTGACCACTTCCGTTTGATGACTTTCAGGAGGACCCACTCTGCCGTGTGTGGTTCGGGTGCCTGATTCCCAGGTCTCGCCTCCTGGATCTGTTTGGAGAAATCTGCAACGAGAACTTGCAAATCATCATAATATGCCTTAGGAGTTCGCTCCCCCTTTTTATCAGGATTCCAGGACAGTCCTCTTTGGGGTCCTGGGAACTGCCTGCCTGTCTGGAGCTCGAAGGGAGTGAACCCGGTCCCCCTGTTTATGGAACACCTTACTGACATCAGTGCCAGCGGTAAAGCGTCAACCCAATTTATTTTAGTCTGTGCACAGATTTTTGCCAATTTTTGTTTTATTGTTTGGTTCATTCGCTCCACCTTTCCCTGGGACTGTGGATGATAGACAGTTCCAAACGCATGTCTCAATCCCAACGCTTTCTCCACCGTCTG